AACAGCGGCCGAGTGAACGGGCTGAGCCGCCCGCCCGGCGCCATCGCCATGAAGGATCACGACGCCATCAAGCTCTTCGTGGGGCAGATCCCGCGTAACCTGGAGGAGAGCGACCTCAAGCCGCTCTTTGAGGAGTTCGGCCGCATCTACGAGCTCACCGTTCTCAAGGATCGCTTCACCGGCATGCACAAAGGTATGGGAGTGTGGGGGGGCTCCGTGCTCGCTGGTGGGGCACCACCGGGCACCGAGCCCTCAGGTGGGGCACCCTGAGGTGGGGCTGTCCTGACGTGGTGCACCCTGGGGCGAGGTCCTCTGTGATGAGGTAGCCCTGAGGTGGAGCACCCAGGAATGAGGCACCCCTGAGGTGAGACACCCCTGAGATCGGGCAGTCTGAGGTGAGGTACCCCTGAAGTGGGACATGCCTGAGATGGGACACCATGAGGTGAGGTCCCCTGAGGTGGGAGCACCCAGTTATGGGACACCCATGAGATGGAGCACCCTGAGATGAAGGTGATTGAAGTGGGACATCCCAGAGATGGGACACCCTAAGATGAAGGTACTCCTGAGGGTGAACGCACTTGTGAGGTGGGACATCCTGAGGTGGAGCGCCCAAGTATGTGGCACCCCTGATGTGGGGCACCCTGTGGTGAGGTACCTCTGAGGTGGAGTGCCCCCAGATAGGGGTACCTCTGAGGTGGGGCACCCTGAAGTGGGACACCTCTGAGCTGGAGGTACCCCTGAGGGTGAAGGCACTGCTGAGATAGGACACCCTGAGTTGAAGCACCCAAGTATGGGGTACCCGTGAGGTGTGGCCACCCTGAGGTGGGACATCCCTGACTTGAAGGTACCCATGAGGTGGGGCACTGTGGTGCAGGGCATCCCTGAGATGGAGGTACTCCTGAGGTGAGACACTCAAGTATGGGGCACCCCTGGGTTGAGATACCCCTGAGGTGGAGGCACCCTTGATCTGGAAGTACCCATGAGGTGGGGTGCCCCATACTGGTGAGGATACCCCTGACATGAAGATATCTCTGAGCTGGGGGTACCTTGGAAGTGGAGCACCCTGAGGTAGAGGCATGCCTGAAGTGGGGGACCTTGGTATGGGGTACCCCTGAGATGGAAGTACCCCAGTATGGGGCACTCCAATATGATGTGTTTCTGGTTTAGAGGTGCTCCTGAGGTGGAGGCACCCCAGGGCTGGGAGCACCCCAGTGGTGTTTAGGGCACCTCCCTGGGCTGGGGGCACCTGTCTGGCATTGGGGCACCCACATGAGCTTCGAGCACCCCTGGAGTTGGAGCATTCCTGAGATGGAAGCACCCACCATGGATTTGGGGCACCCACCATGGACTGGAGGCACCCACTCTCTGTCCCCCTGTCTGCACTGTGCCCCAGGCCTCTGTCACCTGGCAGGACTGGGGTTGCTGCCATCCCAGCACGGGGCACAGAGCACCACAAGTGGCAGCACATCAAGGTCTTTACAGACCCCTGGGGATCTGTGGTGCTGGAGCAGGGCCAGGGCGCCCTGAGTGTCACCTGGATGCAATCTCGCACACCGGCAGCGCCCGCTTTGCAGAGACTTTCTGGGACCCTGAAACTTGGTGCTTGCGGATGCCACCTTGTCAGTTCCAACAACTCCATCGTTCTCAGCACTGCGGCCTCTGAAATATCTCCAGGTGCCTCTGAAGCTGCTTGCGTGCCCCAAAAATTGGGATTCGCACCTTGCCAGGCCCCCTTGGCGCTTCCTCCAGTGCGAGCTTCAACCACTGCGGCCCAGATGCGTGATTTAATTGTGGATGCTTCTCAAATTTGGATGGCGTCTTTCCTCCCAGTGAGGCTCCATAGCAGGATCGCTCCTGCTCCAGTCCTCTGAACTCCTCTGGAATGCCCAGGCACCGTCCACATCATCACCTGCAGGGAAAAAAGGGACTACAAAGAGGGAAAAAAGAGTGGAGAGGAGGAAGCCGACTTGATTCTGGATGGTAAACACTGGAAATGGCCCCAGGACTGATGCGAGCCATGGCGCTGACCTCCCCTTTCTCCCCGCAGCGGAGCTCATGTTTAACCGGGGGGATCTCTCCTTGCTCCCTGCGAGGGCAGATGTCCCCAGCGCTTTGTCCCCAACACTTTGTCACCAGGTGGGCAAGGGACCTCATCCCTCAGCGTTCTCCCACCCCACTGCTGTGCTCCCTCTCCTCCCAGGAGCGCTGATTGTACTTATTAAGAGTTATTAATACTTAATCAGCTGGCAGATTTAATTGTGCCAATATTAAAAATGCATCAATGTCAATTTTATTCATTAAATATTTACTTTGTTGAAGGGAAACTGTTTTGCTGCTGTTTTAATATCACTTTCAGACGCTTTTGGATGTGACCCCAGCAAATCGGGGGGGAGTCCTCAGGGAGGGAGCGATGCGGCTCCGGCATGGAGACCCAGCATGCTCCCACTGGAACGGGAGAGAGATGGAGGGGAGAGAACCGGACCTGGTCCCCGGGGCTTGCTCGTCGCCGCCAGCTCTGAGTGAGCAGCTCGGCAGCGTGAGTCAGCGTGGGAAAACCTCGCCCCAGGCGTATTCCCAATTCCCGGAACGCTGCGATGGCGGAAGAGCCAGAGCGCCTTCGCCGCGCGAGTCTCATCCCAACGACAATGCTCAGGGCCGGGAGAAGCGTGGTGGTACTCTGTGATACACAACCTTGACGCCCGGAGATCTCCTTCCCGGAGGGATTCGGCTGTGGCTTTCCCTGGAGCTGGAGGCTGGAGTGCTGCTTCCTGTGAGCTGTCAGACTCCTGCCTGCTCCTGCCTCACCCCTTCCTTCATCCGCTGCTCCGGCATTTTTGTACCCACATCTCACACCCTGGATGCCAGGGTGCCAGGACACCACGTTGCCAGGATGCTAGGTGCCAGGGTACCGGTATGCTGCATATCAAGAGTGCCAGGGTGCTGGGTGCCAGGGGGCCGGATGCCAAGGTTCTGGATATCAGAGTAACAGGGTCCGGGATGCCAAGGTACCAGGGTGCCATTGTGCTGGATATCAGCGTGCCAGGGTGCTGGGTGCCAGTATGCCATGGTGCTGGGTTACTGGATGCCAAGGTGGCAGGGAGCTGTGGTGCTGGATGTCAGAGTGGCAGGGTACCAGGATGCCGGGGTGCTGCTATGCTGGATGCCACAGTGCCAGTGTGCTGGATATCGGAGGAACAGGGTCCTGGATGCCAAGGTACCTGAGTGCCAGGGTGCCAGTGTGCTGGATGTCAGGGTGCCAGGGTGCTGTGTGCCAGAGTGCTGGGTACCAGAGTGACAAGGTCCTGGATACCAGGGTGCCGGTGTGCTGGGTGCCAGAATTCCATGGTGCTGGGATGCTTGATGCCAAGGTGCCGGGGTGCTGGGTGCCAGGACGCCATGTTGACAGGATGCTGGTGTGCTTGGTGCCGGCGTGCCAGTGTGCTGGGTGCTACAGTACTGGGGTTCTGTGTGCCAGGGTACCAGGATGCCAGGGTGCCAAGGTGCTGGATACCAGGGTGGTAGTGTTCTGGGTGCCAGGACACCAGGTTGCCAAGGTTCTGAGGTGCTGGATGCTGGGGTGCCGGGGTGCCGAGATGCCCCAACTCTGTATTAGCCGTGCCACAGGCTCTCGGCATGGCCAGGGTGTTGTAGTGGTGCCAGGCTGGACATTGACCCCATCTCCTCATCTCCACAGGCTGCGCCTTCCTCACCTACTGTGCCCGTGACTCGGCCCTGAAGGCGCAGAGCGCCCTGCATGAGCAGAAGACGCTGCCAGGGGTGAGTGAGTGACGCTAGGGGGATCGGGGTGACCTGAGAGGGGGAAAACGGTGGCATCCATCTGGGACGGGGGGGTGGTGACATCCACCTGGGGCAGGGGGGGATGGTGGCACCCAGCTGGGGCGCAGGAGCTGCTTCCAGGGGCC